GAAAAGGAACACAGGCCCCTGTGGCTAGCATTTTTGGATATCAAGGGAGCGTACGATAGCGTGGTTCAAGAAGAATTGTGTGGAATACTGGACACACTAGGCGTGGAACATGTAGTCACTAATCTTTTAAAAGATATCTATAAAGGTGACAAGGTAGTTATAAAGCGGGAAAAACAGGTATCCAAACCTGCAGAGGTAAAATTGGGACTTAGACAGGGGTGTCCACTGTCACCCTTGTTATTCATGATGTGCCTACAAGGATTAGAGGCCAAATAAGAGGAAAGTGGACTTGGCTTCAACCTCTCTTTAGTCAAACAAGGAAAACTCATTGATCAGGCACTACCAGCATTAATGTACACAGATGATATAGTGCTAATGGCCGACAACAAGGAAGATTTGCAGAGATTGATGGACATCTGCGGTAATGCGGGAGATAGGTTAGATTTCAGATTCAGTAAGGAAAAATCAGAAATGATATTTGATGATAATGAAGGTAGTGAGCTTAGAATACAGGAGGTCACACTAGAGATAACAGATAAGTACAAATATCTGGGTGTATGGATAATCAATGGGACCGAGTACCTAAGGGGACACGAAATATACGTGATGACTAAAGGTAACAGGAATGCAGCAGTGATGAAAAATAGGGCACTGTGGAATTACAATAGGTATGATGTTGTGAGAGGAATACGGAAAGGGGTCATGGTTCCTGGGCTGACGGTCGGCAATGCGGTCTTCTGCATGAGATCAGAAGTTCAAGCAAGATTAGAATTTAAGCAACGTGGAATAGGTAGGCTTGCTTTAGGAGCTCACGGGAATACACCAAATCAGGGAGTACAAGGTGATATGAGATGGACATCATTTGAGGGCAGGGAAGCTAGCAGCAAGATAAAATTTGAGAAGCGATTGAGAGAAATGGGGGAGGAGCGTCGGGCTAGGAAGGTTTTCCGCTATTTGTACTTGAAGAAAGTCGATACAAAATGGAGGAAGTGAACCAGAAAATTGACTGGTAAATACTTAGAAAACGGCAGGTGGCCAAACCAAAAAGAACTATCGGTTAAGAAGAAAGTGAAGGAAACGGAGACTGACATGTGGAGAATGGGCATGATTAAGAAGTCTGCACTAGAGATCTATCAAACTTTTAAGCAGGAAATTGCCAAGAAAATGATCCATGATAATACTCGGGGTTGTTCTCTACTGTTTGAGGCTAGGACGGGAATATTGTGAACCAAGACATATCGGGTGAAATGCGAAGGGGTAGACACGATATGCAGTGCGTGTGGAGAGGGAGAAGAAACTGCCGAACACTTTATAATGTTTTGTAAAGGGCTTCACCCTATAGTTCAGAATGATGGCGCAGATTTTTCAAAGCACTGGGGTTTAGGGACAGGGAGGGCAAAATAGACTTTAAGCGGGTAGACTTAACTAGAAGGAGGTTATCTGATTGGTGATGTAAGTCAAGGCACGAGTGAAAATTAAACCATCACTGCAAAGTACGAATCCTCAACCTCACTATTTAAAAGAAAAAAAAGATAAATCTAACGGTGAGTTCACTAAATATTGCGACTAGGTGGCGTTAGCCGCCGCCCGATCTAAAGGGTACAGCCACATCCATCCATCCATCCATCCATTCATCCAGTTATCATCATCAACACAAACAAGCGAGGCGTGTTTTGATCTCTGGGGCTTGCTGTTCTGTCAAGACGCCCAGTGGGGGGGGGGGGGGGGGGGACATGCTTTGGCGAGTGTGCAAGAAAAAATGGAAAAACTACTAATTAACCGATACATACGCAATAAGCTGGTACGGCTTATGCAGATACAAAATGCATTATGTTCGATGGCCGCCAAGTCGGGGATTTGACTTCACTACTTTTAAGATGAAACTACTGTTTACGCGGGTGCGGTTTAACGAGGTTTCACTGTACAAAGCCAAGAATGCATGTCAAGGTGTCGCAAACAGAGCATTTATACAAATCGCCAAATAATGAACAACTGTTGACTAAAACCGGAGGTTCGCATCACATATGTCATGTTGTCTTTTTTGTTGTTTTGAAAGGCTTTGGAGCATTCATTTTAGATGTTATTTCTCAATTCATTTTTTATGACACCCCGATTTGAAATAAGGTGTGCTGCTACAGCTTTCACAGTGCAGACGTACGCGAGTTTCGAAATTTTTTTGTCTTGCAGCCGTGTGTACAAAGGTCCGAAGAGCCAATGGCTTCACTGACAGACTGCGTAAACACCGCATAATATACTGCCTACAGGTACTGGTAGAAACTCATCTTTATGTCCCAGATCTCAGATTAATACGTGTCATTGGCAAAGTAGTAAAAAATAAGATTGAATATAAAGTATTTAAAGCCTTAAATAAAACAAAACATGGCAAAGCGTCGTGTGTAAATCATCCATCAGTTTTCCTTACAGATAAAGAATTTACGTTTTCTCATAGTGATTGCATGGTAGCGTCGATACTCTAGTGTTTTAAGAAAATATTGCTACATGCATATTGACATTTTGTGGGGCAATGCGCATGTGTGCCTGACAAAGAGGACAAAGAGTTGTCTCCGCTCGGTGGCTGGTCAACCAGTCACGCCGCTACTGCTGGTTTTAAATATATTTCATCCACAACCTCGTCGATACAGGGTAATAATATGCTGTTTGTAACATTTTAACACCTGTGCACTGTTAGTGTGCAACTGTGAAATGACTTAGCCTATTTATGCACATGTTGCTGGATTGTGTGTGGGTGGGCTTTCTGCAATAAACATTGTGTTTGAAGTCCAGCGCTTTTTCCGTGTGGTTGTTCTCCTTTGCTGTCATTGTGTCTTTTGTACGATTTCTCCTCCGAATATTATGAAGCAACTCACACAGCAAGCTGCGTTAGTGATGTATACTGTTTCGAACAAGGTCGTGAAAAACCGACATCTAGTTAGTAGAATTCAGTCGAAGATAAAAAAACCGGCGAAGTAAGGCGCATGTTACTCGGTTTGATTGCCTGGCGAGTACATAACAAAGCGGAGAGAACACAAGACATTACATACTTTGTGTTTTTTCCACATGTATTCACGTCATGTGCAGTGCTTCACACACGAAGTTTACGGTGATCCTAACCTCACCCAATTCTTGACCTTGCTGAACCTGCCAACTGGATCGTTTATTAGAGCATACTTTATCTGTTGTGTTTGTCTCTTTCTCTTGTCATTAAAGGCTGTGTTTCCATTCCTTAACAGACTTTTTCTAACTACGCATGCCGCAAACAGCTGAATCTTGCTCGTTTAGACTATAAGCAGTTGCTTCTATACGCATAGAAGCGCTTCTACATTAACTAGCATGCCATCTTCCCCTTTGAAGTGTAAATGTTCCTTCCCTCACTTTTACAGTCGTATCGATTGTTATTTCAATACCTACTTTCCACACCTTTTATTCATACATATTGTGTGAAAGGGAGTATATAGGTTTTATCGTCAGCCAGAATATGTTAATATATAGTCCTCGCGAAACACCGCCATTGGTGCTGCCAGGGACCTGTACTTACTTCTACAGTGAGCTTGAAAGTAGCTTAAAATTAACGTTTATCTAGAGTCCAAGACTAGCTTCCTACGTTATCAGGAGTACTGAACAAGTTTTTCTGATCCACTTAATTAACTGTAAATGGCAGGCAATGCGTTTACTAGAGGGCAGAATTAAGAAAGGACTGACAATTTACTAGTTACAGAATAAAATGCCAAAGAAAGCCAGGTTTACTAAAAACAATGCATTCCTCAATAAATGATGCGCCCAGAAAACACATCGGCGGTGGCGGCGCGTCGATCAGTTTGCATTGACGGGGACGTGCTGATGCCTCGGCCCACACCATTAACTGCAACGTCAATCATGTTTGCGAGAATGTTTGCCTGAAAACGCGTGTGAAATCGTGTTGCCAACGTGCAGCATAAATTACAACAAAAATTACTGTGTATCCCAAGCATGCATGAATGCACGCAGTAGACTAAAAAAAACTTTGACTAAAAGCTATCACTGGATCAGGGCTGCTTCACATACAGAGCTGAATGTAAAAATCATTCCCATGGGTATGCAGTTATTCTCATTCCATGTTGTAAGCAAAGCCATTCTCGACTTGTGAAACACACTTCACCTCGACGAAAGCTACGCCATCTATGCTTAACAGAGATTAACCATGTCTTCTCCAATCAGGCGGGTACTCGCAACGATGCGTTTTAGAAGACAAGTCTATTGAATGGAGCGACGAGAGGCCAATGCTCCAAACGACCACTGTATACTGTCGTTTACTGTATTTTCCTGCTGTTACTTTACTTTTATTTACTCTCTTCACAAGCATATGTGCATGGTGAGGGGAGTCTCATGACTTTGATATACATGTGCACAGTCCTCTCAAGCTACCGCAGATAATCACATTACAGAGAAAAGCTGATGCCTGTGACCCCCCCCGTCAGGTCCGAAAAAATGAGCACATAAGGATCCTTCTGCTTTATCATCACGTCGCTGTTTGTGCAAGAGACAAAAACCTTGCGATGCTTTTTCCACGTACATGTAGCATTAATGGGGACATATTTCTCAGGCCCTTGCTATTAACATTCTTTTTGCTACTTACGGTATTCCTGCCCATTCTACGAAAACTATTTTCTTCTTTGAAAAGCTGTATAAAGTTATGTCCATACTTTTAATATATCCCACGGAAAATTTCTGGACTACAGCGCCGCAGCTAAGACGGGACATGGCACAGCCACTTCGTTCGTTCCGCTGCTTCCTCTGGTTTTACTGTCCTTTCCCCACACGAAAAAGAGTGATGTTGCCCACACCTTTCTACAGGAGGCATTGCTCTTACATGAGTGAAATAGGGATATGAAGATTTGGTCGGTTGTTGGCCTCGTATTGCTGACATGTTCATTGATGTCGTGTTACATTGCCAAAGTGCTTGTAGTCCCGACAGCGAGCTACCCTCAGCTGTCGAGAAGGGTCGAAAGACAGACTGAGAAATAGGAACCAGCCGAAGCAAGTTTACATCCTGCTTATAACAACATTTTCGAAATCCTTGCAGCAGCATGTTCACATAGTACAAGAGAGCAGTTACCTCTTCATCACAGATTTTGACGGCACCATTGTTTACTGGCCCTTAAATGTATTTATTGACAAATTACACAAGGTCTAATGCTGTAAGCACATTTCAAATGAACACACACTTACTTGCAGAAAATGGCACTTTGTTTACACGACAAAGGGACAGAAATAATGAAACTAACTTCATCAGAAGCAAATCCCTGAAAATGCAAGATCATGCACTAGATATGAGCTAGCTCACCATGCATACAGTGGCTAAGTTATGTCCCACATGTTCCTGAACAACAAGCACCAAAACTGGACATCTGAAAGCTGAGATGACAATGAAGCCTTACACACATACATTACCAAGTAGTATAAACTAGATCGAGCAATTCGTTTCAAAAGTGTGACCAATTTGATTAAAAAAATGCACTCACAGACAATATGTCACATACAGATGTGGCACAAGTTCACTTTGCATGTAAGAACACAGTATGGGTATTTAGTGTTGCACATGAAAAAAACTTGACCACAATACACCACATGAAGATGAGTATACACAGCTGGTTTAACTCCCTGCCAATGATTTGGCAATGACGGCAGCAGACAAATGGTAACAGACATGCTGGGGCAAGAACAAACAAGAGCCAGAGGAAAATGTATGCAACTTTGGAGAATATCTTCCATTAGAATAATTTTTGATGAAATGACTTCTGCTGGTAAAACCTCTTATTGTCATATATTCACAGCTTGCAATAAGCACTTAAATGCTGTGCTTATTAGAAGAAGCTATACTGGAGACATTAAGACTGACACATGCCTAAACAAAGTAAAAAAAACTGTTGATATAAATAGATAACCTAAACTATACATACCAAGGCTCATAGCAAGCATGGGAAAACACTTAAAGAACAGGTTTTATTACGAGCTGACTTTGCTAGACAATGAAGATTTACAATGAAAAACAAAACATTAAGCTTTGAACTGTTAATTGTCTCCTTGCATTTACACTTGTTTACTAGAAGCTTTCTAAATTGAACAAAACCTGTTAATTCAAACTGACACTCTGGTCCTGGCACAGCCCCATGTATTTCTAGGGGGTAAACTACTGCCAATTCAAATGCATAGGCATCCACAATAGTTCATTCCAACTGCGAGCCTACTGGCCTTCACCGATCTTTGCAGAAGAAAGCCCAGAATGTGTTGCGAATTCACACCAATCCACTAGAGATGCAAAACAACGAAACAGCAGCATTTCCCAGCAGAAGATAATTACGAAGCTGCACACGGGCAAGCTGGAAATGATGTTCAGGAAGTTACGACAAAAGAAATGTAACCAAATGCAAATTACTGCTCATTTTCAATTTTTATTGCATTATCTCTGCAATGCAAATTAATGCATTTTGGCACATAAATAATGTCAAATCTTTCAACATTAAGGCTGACTGCTCAAACAAATGCACGTCGCTGCTGGTTTCTGATAAATTAATTTTGTCAGAGCTCCACGAACTCAATTTAAGAAATCACCTGCCACGGAAGTGTAGTCGTACCTAGTTCGCGATAAGTCTAGAGGTGACTTCTTTGGGCTCTGCTTATGGAATGTGAAACCATGTCTATTTAGTCAGCACTCTCTGCTATTTAGAACTCCCACAGTTAGAACAATCCCCCTATACTCAAATAATAAGCTTCAACTGCAGTATAATTAAAAAAAAACATTTAGTTTCATATGAGACTACAACCGCTAGCAGTGTTATATAACATCATTTATGAGAACCTCAGTTATTCAGCTTTCAGCAAACACCTTATGATATATAATCTTGTGGTTCAGACCTCACCTTGTGTCCATAAGATGGCCCTTACAAATCGTGATTCAGACATATTAGTTATTAACCAACCATGCATACCTAATTTTAGGTTTCCAAGTTTACGCTTTCTTGGGGTCACAAAAAGCAGTATCAATAATGTTCTGCCATGAAATGCAGCATTCAGAAGCATTGCCATGGGCAAGAAACTATTGTAACTTTGATAAATTATTGCTGAGCGAAAGAACTCTTCTAGTGTTGTATGATGTCACAAAGGCAACTGGTGCCCACACATAATCTGACAAGCATCAATCAAGACACAGTTGGACTTACTTGGAACGGCTTTAACACTTAGCTGCTGCATCATCAACTTTTGTATGTTTTTGATAACCTAGCATCTGGCTATTTGGTGCTCAAAGGTTGTGCAAAGTGAAATTCACGAAAAAAAAAAAAGAAGACGAGAGATTTAAGCTCTCCCACCCACAACTCAAGGATCTCACAGGGCCCTTTAGGATTCGTGGCACACCTCATCGCATAGCGGTCTGGCATGGCGGCAAGGCTGACCTTGGAAATTCACTAGGACGCACGGCTTCAGTTGATGCACCTTCGGACGTGCAGTCTAAGTAAAAAGTTCTGGCGTCTGAACCCTCAGGCATTCTCATCAGGATTTTCAAGCATGCCCAAAAATCGGGAAATTTGTCATTTTTGTCAGTGATGTCTGTTGGTATACCTCATCTGATATTATAGCTTCCTCATGACAGCCTACCATCCGCCTATTTTTCTTTGTTTTTGTGCAACCCGTATATAGCAATTATCAGTTATAAATAAAACTTATGTGGCACTTAGGTGTTGCTATAGGTGAGTTGGACTGTAGCACAATAGATGTGGATTATGACCACGTAGGTACTATCGCAACAAAAAGTGCATGCACACACAGTATAAATGTCTCCACAGATCTACAGACTACAATCTTGAAGAAGGAAGCCAGCGTTTCCAAGATGCAATGTGGCAATTTCATGATCAGCCCTAAAGTGAAGATGCTGAGCCCTCTTGCATGGACTTCCCATGTTCACTTGTTTAGTGCCTGACAATTATCATCCAAAGCACCAAAATGGTTAGTAAAGTGTTTGTGTTAAAAAGTGTCAGCACCAGACAGAAATGAAAAGGCGTTCAAATCTCTTCATTCTCTCACAACACATGCTATCCAATTACCATTTACAGTTACCTGCTTTGGTACATCACCTAGCCCTGCGTAACTACTTCACAACTAAGAAACGACAGTCCAGCTCCCAAAGCTCTTGTTGTTTCCTCCTCTAATAAAAGCGCACGGATCGACGCCGAAGTGTCATCCAGCCGCTGGGTTCTCATGCTCTAACGCACACCGTTTGTAATCAGCCGTGTAGCTAGCGTACTGGTCGAACCAAAGTAATGCTGGACCGTCAAAGTGAAACTCTGTTTACACAAAAAGACTACCATATTTACTGATGTAATGAACTCACCTTTTTTTTCAAAAACGTTGACGCCAATTTGGGGGGAGGATTCATTATGTGGGAGAAAATAGTGACGGGAGGTACAACAGCGAAAATTTTGCGAGACGGCTTTGCGAGTTTTGGCCCGTGAAATGTGCGACAAATCTTTTTTGTAGCATGAAGCACATGTTGTTTCCTCCCATAATGAAAGTGCACGGACCGATGCAGAAGTGTCATCTAGCCGCTCAGTTCCCATGCTCCAGTGCATGTCGCTTGTAATCAGCCATGTCGCTAACTTACCGGCCGAACCCATCCTGCGCAGCAGGTCTCCCAATAAAGTGTGAAACGACAAACTCGGCAACAAAAACACAGGGTCAAATTGCCCGCGCAAACATTGCGCTAAACAATGTGGGTGGATGACGCGTCGTCAGCGCGGTGGTTGCGGTTGCGCTTTGCACGACCTCCGAGAATTCAGGGCCTCGTAGCCTGCCATTTCGAAGGCCACAAACAGTTTTTAGTTGATTTTTGTGCCACTGTACTTGCATGGCGCTATCAGCAAAAAGGTTTCTCCTGTCTTCAACAGATGGCGCTTAGCCGCAAAAGGCGTGACTTTCAAATTTTGATTGACGTTGTCCGCGCTCGCGCTGCTCGCAACTGTTTAGCATGGTTGCTAAACTATGTTTTGACTTTTATTGCGTTGTTATTTTGTGATATCATGGCTTGCTTTAGCGTTGTTTCAATCATCAACGGCACTGGCAATTGTACCGAAATAAAATGAACAAATACATTAAAAAGTTTTCTTCATTTTACGAGGACGAAAGTGGGGCGTGGGTTCGTTACACGTGTAAATACAGTACTTTCTTTTGTCCTCGTTACCACACAGCCATTATAGTGATGCACACTGTGTGTTGTCACTTGCTGTTCTGCAGACTTGTCATACAGTGACCATACTATTGGTGTCAGATGGAAGCCAAACAGTGACAAGCATTAGCAATGGTATAGTGCATGCCATCCAGTCATCACCATGGCTATCCACAGTGCTTACAGAAAGAAAGTGCTGTGCACCGGTCAAAGGCGATGACTATGCAGATGGTGCACACTATGCAGTTTCTGAAGCTGTTTGCCATTCATTTGACACTGATAGTACACACAATAAATTGCTGAGCCACCACTGTACACACATGTGTCTCAATACACAGCAGTTTTTGCAACAAGTGCGTCCCATCACTTTGGCCTCAATGTGCTGAGGAAGTTTTCGAGGTCATACTCGGAGTCGTACTTGGAGGAGTCCCACAGTTCAGGGAGGCTTTCCAGCACCCCCTTGATGCCAGCGCGTGATGGACCAGCATGCTGCTGTGCGGGGTCTCTGCCCCCCTTGGAGCTGTCCAGTGTGAACAGGTCAAGCAGCTGGTCGGTGCCCATGGTGCTCAGGTTGCTGTTCTCTTGTGTGATTACTGTGTTGGCAATGGTCATCTTGAACTTCTGCAGCCTGCAGCAAACAAATATTCATTGCAGTGTGAGTAGCTTTATAAAGGTTAAAAAGTAAGTTTGGCAAAGCACATCTTAATACAATCGAGCCCACATATAACATGCCACTTAAAATGAACTTCCGCTTAAAACGAGCAATATCCGCATGACCATGAAAATATACATTGGTTCAATGGCACAAAATGGCACTTACAACAAACGTCTGCGAGCGACACTGATCGGTTACAGCGAATGAAGTGGGAGCTCTGCTGACTTCCCGGGAAACCACGTTCAACCACCGATCAGGCATCAGCCAGGGGCCCATAGATTCTTATTGTTAAACGCCAACCCTGCCTCAGCACCGCTCTAGTTGCCGCTCTCTACGACCGCTTTTTGTTAAGCACCCCACCGTCCTTTGCCCCCCCCCCTGCTTCTCTGAGCACCCCACATTGCTAGCCGTGGCCTGTGTTTTCACACTGCCACTGACCTTCCGAAGATCGGTCGGCCATCTCCTCTGTTTTTGATCCCTGGTACTGTCGTTGGGGTAGCCAGCCTGGAGTGACCATACGATTTGCCAACATTGTCGACCACAGACTGTATTTGATCGTCTGCGTCTAGTACACGCGCATACACTACCCCACCAACTCTGATAATTCGCGATTCTTTTCGTGTAGGACGTGTTCTCGCTCACTTCGCACTCGATACAGCATGCCTTCCGCACGCGAGTGGAAGCGTGAAAACAGCTGTTAATTTGTGCAGAAGGAATCGCGAAATATCGAAGTAAGTGAGGCCACGCAAACCCGCCGGCACAACAAAACGATTTTTTGACCACGACCGCCAATTCTTTGAACACCGCCGTGCGCGCCAATCCAGGCGGCCGTGCTTTGTCTTCTGCGTGCCGAGGCACTCTTTCAAGTGTTTCTACGCGCGAGTTGCACTAAAACAGAACGGCGACAAAGAGACAAGAAGGACACGAGCGCTCATGCCATACCAACTAGCCCGAACTGCTGCACTTCCGAGTTGTGCGTTTCGCGGACCTTTCAAGCAAGCTACCTGAGCTACCTCGTTCCCGCGTGTTTAGGTTTTCAAGGTCACCCTCCCGCCGTGTCCTCCTCTCTCTTTATCGCAACTCGTTGCCCTTCTCTCGCAAATCTGCTTTCCTCTCTTGATCACAACCTCTTCACCCATCTCCTCCGCTTCGTGACGCCAGCCACGCTGGCTCAAGTGAGTTTCGTTTTCTGACTAGAAACGGGCCCAGAGCTGTTCCGCGTGTTCTGGCTTGTGTGTCGCTTGTGCGTGTCTTGCTCGCTCTTGGTGTGCGTGTGTGATCAGGATGGCAGACGAGAGGACTTGCAATCTTTTTCCTGCTGCTCAACAAATCGTTGAAAGTGTGACCGCTTGGCTTGAGCGTAATCCGCGTGTTAATTGCCGCGTTGCTGAGCGCTTGCTCATGGCTGTTGACCACCTGGCAGCGAACTTGCCGCTTCGGGCGTCCCGGTATTCGGTTGTGGAGATGATGAATATTTCGTGGGCGGCGGTGACGGCTACATGCACGGGAAGCTGTTCTCTCAAGGCCGACTTCGTCGACGTTGGGCCCGATGACCAGCTGGAAGCTTTCGAACAGGATTATTTCGGCGGCAATTTGTGGCAGCGTGCCGTCAACTTCGACATGGCACAGCGGGTGAAACATCTATTGCGATAGTTTCATTGCGGCCGGTGATGATGCCGACACCGCGGAACCGCGCTTGGATTAGGACATTGTGAATAGAGTATGTGGCAAGAGCGATTTAGAGGAATCGAATTGCGAGAACGATCAAACTTTGGAGCCAGTCCCTCATGCAGCTTATGCCACGGGTCTTGGCGAACAAGCATGCTGCTGTTTGAAATAAACTAGAGACCGCCCTTATCGCTTCTGCTCTTCGAAACGTGCATTACAGACTTTTTTTGAGCAAAAAGGTCTGTGCCTTCCCTCGCAACTTTTTAAAAAACTGTGTTTCATTTACTACAAACTTCGGGATACAGCGAACGGATGCTGCCTCAGGCTGAGGTTTTTTATAAGCGGGCTCGACTGTACTACAGAAAGAGAAGGAGGATGAGAATGGTTCATGTCTTCCTTGCCGCCTTGTGTAAAAATGTTGAACTATACAGTGAAATCTCCATAGAACTAACCCTACATTAACAAACTTTTCAGATTAACAAACTTTTAAAAATCCCGCACCGACGGCTAATAGCTTCAAATGTAAAAGTATTTCACTACTACGTACTTTAGAATACTAAACTTTTCAGAATAACGAGCGTCAATTTAGTTCCAAGTTATGTTAATAATGCTTCAGTACTACAAACTCATGTTCTGAAATCTGTCGCGAGCACCAGAGCGGTATGCAAGAAGACGACAAAGCGAACGGATGCCTTGCTTCTCGGAAGACATGCGACAGTGCAGAGAAAAAAAAAAAATGAAAGGGCGACTTTCTTTTTCTTTTTGTTGAAATGTCGAAGCTGCAGGTTTACAAGCACAGAGGCGAGAGCAACACGGAAGGGCAAAGTGAGCGAGGCAGAGTGGGAGTTGCGGAGCAGAAAGCATGGGTGCGGAAAACCTGAGACAGCAAGGGAGCAAAAAACGAAACGCTATGAATTTTGTTTTAGAGGTGAAGTTCGTTGTCGTACGTAGGCACAGAGGATGCGAGATGGGAGACGGCGGCACTTGGAGTGTTCACTAGATGGACGCACGGACGGATGCATGGATGGACAGACAGACAGACTAGCAGATGGACGGACAGATGGACGGACGCGCGAAGCGGTTATTTGCCACAGGGGATGCGAGATGGCGGTACCTGGAGTGTTCACTAGATGGATGCACGGACGAACGGACAGACAGACTAGAACATGGAAGGAGAGATGGAAGGACGAGCAAACGTACGGGCGGATGAAGGCTTCGCCCCACTCATCATCATTCACTCCGTGAATATGTTATAATTTTTTTAATACTTTTTTTTTTTCTTCGGAAGAGGCGATGACAGCCGGGGGGCTTCGAGTTTTTCTCTCTTTGTCACTTCTACGTGTGCTCTAGGAGGCCCTGTTTGTCAGTCGTGTTCATCTCCTTTCAATGATTACTCATTGCCTCCGCAAGGCAAGTCAGCGTTCGAGCAGCTTAAGCAGTTTTCGCTAAGAGAGAAAGTGCATATTTTTCGGCAACTGGAAGGCTGAAAGCTGGCTGTTGTGACCAAAGAACCGAACCCCATCACAGGAATGTGCATGAGCTGGATGCCTTCGCGCTGCAGAAATTGTGCTGCACGCGTCAATAAAAAAAAAAAGAAATCAGACTTCTTCAAACGTGCATTTTTTGGTGTTCACTTGTGCATTTGCTTTTTCTCGTGAAAAATGAGTTCAAGGATCTACCGTTGTAAAAATAAGTCGTTTTGGTCAGAAGAAAATACATATTTATGGTTAATTTCTGAGCTTGCACTATAACAACCTTTTAAAATAACGAAGAAATTGCCACAGCCCCATGAAGTTCATTATACCAAGATTTCACTGTAGCTGAGAAGCAGAACAAAGCTTTATTAGCTTCAAAAATTGGTTATTATTTATACACAAAACATTGCCTGTAGCATATGTGATTATCTGGTTGCATACTACAATGTGCTCATGGCTTCCAGTTGCAGTTTCGAGTTGTTCTTGTAACTACTGCACAAGAAAAAAAAAGGACTTTGTGGATGACCATAATGTATAACTTTTATGATGATAAGCTAATTCATGTGATAACCACGTAATGGTGCACCAAGGCAAAATAAATGGTATCGGAGGTACCCATATGTGCAACATATTGTCACGTAGTTGCAATAGTGAAGAAGGCAACTGTCAGGCTGTTAAGCATTTTATTGGACAAACTAGTGCTCAGGAAATTAAAAGTCCAAGTTTCCAAGTTACAGCAATGCTTGCTGTACATTGACGACGATCGTTTATAATCTGATTGCTGGCAGAATGAGCTGTCTTTCTAGATGGTCGAACCTAATGTTCGATCACGTAGAAAGACAACTTGATTGGTTGAGTCTTGCAAGTAATTTTAAAACAATTTGAAATTACTGCGAAGCTATTGCAGCGTGCCCTGTGCTGAGCAAAGCTAGGCTTTGTGAGTGAAACCAAATCAGACCAGAATAAATAAATGAGGACATCTGGAAATGTCCTCCCTTGAAAAAGGATCGTCCTGTGCTGCAAAAGTGTGAAGAAATAAATGTATACTAGTCCAAACACAGACTTGGTTGCTGTTCAGGTTGTAATGCTGTCTGTCTGATGGTATTTTGTGCACAGATGAGCAAGTTGTCTTGCTTCTTCGGTGCATTGAAAGTACATAGAAACTTGCACATTTTCTTTATTGGCGACTGTTGGCAGTATGGCACAAAGCCTGGTTATTGGACTCCTTCCACAGACCAGCTTAAATGCACGGCCGTGTTGTCAGCAAAAGTCGCATATGGTACAATGCGAACTCAATCCTTGAGTTCTAGGTCAATGTATATTGCCAACATGCCAGCAATGGCTCTATTCAAGTGCTCCGAGAGGCCATTAGTCTGTGGCAAGCAGGCATAGCGTAACGAGTAAAGATCATTGGAGAGCAAGACTTTCAAAGCGCTTCAGGGGTGAGAGCCCTGTGGATCTGAAGCTTTCACAGTTAAGCAATGCTGGTTACCCCAAAAGCCCCGTGGAATCAGTTGAAGGCTTGCATAGAGAAGCACTAAAGAAAGGGTGTGAGGATGAGGATAGGACTTCGATGCGCCAGTGACGACAACGTCCGCAAGAAAATGGGGAGGCTGTTTTGAGGTTTAAAACTATACTTCATAAAAATATGAAAAAATTAACGAGCACACAAACTAGACAACAAACTAAGCAAATACAAATAAAGGAGCTAACGAGAGTTCCTCACAAGCACCGCGCCTTAACCGAAAGCGTCTCTAAGCCGACACAGGCTCAACCATTGGGGATTCGAGCACTTTGGGCGACGCAATGACGTAGCGCCAACACGAGTGC